TATCATATATTTAACTGTTCAAGTCATAAAAATTCATTGAAAATCAATATACTTGTTCGTCTCAAGATCTTAAACTCTGTGTATCAATCTGAAGTCAATCAGATGATAAGTTAAGGGCCATAACTTTGGGAGTAATTATCGGAAATCGTTGAAAATCAATAGGAATCTTCGTCTCATGACCTTAAACACTGTGTATAAATTTAAAGTCAATCAGATATTAACTTTAGCCTCTAGACCGACGGACGGACGGACGGACGGGGGCGACGACAATATACGACCACATTTCAATGTGGGCGTATAAAAAACGAAATGAAATATTGATTTGTATCTTAATCAGAATGATGGGGGGGGGGATGATATGGGGTTTTAAGTGTAAATGTAAAATGTCTTCATAACCAATCAAACCCAAGCGCTTGAGTTAAGGAGTCAGTCATCCAGTATTTAAAATACCTAGACGGTACAACGCCACATTGGTATTGATTGCTGCCAACCAGAGCTGACTGGATGGAGTTTGGGTTCAAAGCTTTGTGGACGAAACGTCGTACCATAGACTCGGTCACCCAGACACTGCTAGTCTTCAACGTACGGAGGATCAGGGTCAGTTGTCAACATGTTGTTGTTGGTTTTTTTTTTTTGGGGGGGGGGGGGTTAAAGTGGTTGATTATCTAGCAAATTTCGCCTAGTCAAGTAAAAGTAGCGAATCGTCTCGAATTAAATCTCATAATTCATGCATTATTATAAACAAACATGAATCGTGACGATGAATTGGGATTAATAAAAAACATATAATATGGTCCATCAAGATGGAAATTTTAAAATATAAAATAAAGACTGTTGGATTATAAACTGGCAATGCGAAAGGATTTTCTGAAATGACAATATTCTTATATTAATTTCATGGGCGTCGACATCTTGTTTTAAGGCTAGTTATCTCCCTTAGATTTTGTTCATGATAATGTAAAAGACCGGATAATCTTCTATGTTGACAACCCATCCAGACTAATATTCGTCTGAATGATAGAGATTAGTACCCTCGTTCTAACTGTAATGTGTTAATTTTCCAACATGACATTCTGGGGCCGCCTGTGAATCTCTCGAGTTCAAATGGCGGCGTCGCTCGAGAAGAACCTTCGGTATTTTTCAAGCTCGGTTCCCTCTCATTAGGTGTAGCGCTTGTGATGAATGGACGTTCGGATGGGACTGAAAACCTCGTATTGCAGATTTAAACACCAGAATGGCCTATAGTGTACAGGGGTATAAGTTAAACCCCATTCCATTCAGTTTCCGCTTACATTTCAACTTTTGATAAATATTGTAAATTAAGATATAACAACGTTACAGCAAAAGCTAAGCAAAGAACTTTCTGGTCATCATCATTGATGCCGCTCTTTCGCTTACTACGTGTTATAAGAAGTTTTCGAAAGTGAGGACCTAATCTGGCCCCTGCTAGAATAAAATGATGACTAATTTTTTTTTATTTAAATAAAAAGACATGTAAATAGCTTTTGGCCACGATTCAGTGTGTTTAGGCGCTTAATTAAACATGCATTATGCAAGAGCAAAATCTGCCTATTACAGGTCTTTCCTTGGGCCTGAAATGTTTTCTAAAGTATTAATTAGACATTAATTAACTGATCCAGGCCTTAATCAACTCTCGATGACATCAGATTTCTCCAATATTAAATAGATTAGAATGGTTCAGCGATACTTTGATTTAATCAAATATGGAGGACCGAGACTTAGCTTCGATCAATCAGTACGGTGGTTAAAATTATTGCACACGTCTTGTCAAGCCTTCAAAGGCTAATATCTTCACTCGCAACAGAGTAATTTGAATGAAATTTTCAAATTATTCATTTTACATTATCTATATTTTAACTATTATAGCAAGAATGGCTAGCTCTTTATCTAAATCTTACATAATGTATCTTTAACAGTCTTGAAAGAACTTACGAATTAAATGCAAATGTCTTTATTTCATAAATAAACTTAACCGGGTCTGTTCATGTTTATTATGTGAAAGTTCTGTTTCGTTTTTTTTTATCTTATTTATCTAAGTATATACAGAATTTATTTTTAACAGGTCACAATCCAGTCTTAAGTTAAAATCAACTAGTTGTTTATATAATCAGTGAATTGAAAAAATGGCAGCGGAACTTTCTCGTAAATATTCTAATTTTGCGTGTTTGGCTCCAATTTGTTGTAATTGGATCCTATAGCATGTTTATGACATCATTAAAATGTCAAAACCCGCTGAAATCTACATTAGTACTGCATATCGCCTACATATCAAAGAAAATCCGACATACTTCGATCAATTCCGGTAACTTCCGTAGTGTTTTATAATCTCTCTTTTCTGTATAGAGTAATTCAAGAATTGATGAATGGAAAGATTGGTTGATGTTAACATCCACGTGAGGTCACGAGCTCATCAAGCTTAATCAGAAATTTATTCGCTTCCATGGTCAATTTCTTGTAAAGAAGAGCAAAGATCAACCTAGTATTGATAATCGTAAGAAAAAAAGGCTACAAAGTTCAACAACTCTACACTGACACAAATTCACTACATCTTTAGTAAAATCATAGTGAACGTCTCCCATCTAAAATTAATAGGCAGTGTTATGAATAATAATCGTGGGGATTCTTTGACAAATAAAATGAAATAATAATAAAAATATCAATGCAACTTTTAGCTTTGATCAGTATTTGTCGTTAGAACGATATCACATAAACGATCTGTTTTTTCTGTCAATCGGAATCGGCGATTACATTCTCATCAAAGAACGCAAATGTCATGCAAAGACGGTAGAAATGTGAAATTGATGTTAGGAATATGGTAATTATTGTCGTTTGTGTTTTTTCATCATAATTGAAGACTTAAGAAAATATAAAAATGTTCCATTAAGATAAAAACTGAGTTATGCTAATATATCAAAAAAACAGTAATAACATTTTTGTTGACATCATACGCAGCATTAAATCTCCACCATTTGTAAGAGAAATGTACAAAAAAAAAGAAAAAGGGGCTTAAATTTCTACAAGAAATTAACCAGATTCCTTCTCTTTGGTTTAAGTTCTCATTCTGTTTTAGATTACATGGAATCGATTTGTGAAGATCGTTTGATGTAGAAAGTGAACCTAGAATCATTATCCCATTACTATCCAGCACTGGATAATGATTCTAATTTCCCATAAAAAAAAATTAAGATAGCTAATATTTATGTAAGTTTTTGTAGGAATAACTAGAGTAATACCATTTGTATTTGATTGCTTCATGAATAAACGTTATAGAAAATTGTCAGATTGCAGTGTATATATCAGTCGTTAAAACTTCTGTTTACGAATTGAGATGTTTCAAATTTATGTGAAGTGTAAAAGTCTGTTACGACTGTTTGTAATTCATGGTAACAATGCTAATATAATTTTGTGGCGGCAGTATAATCTACTTTTGTGTTTTCTGTTTCCAGTGGAAACATAGGGCTTTCATACTAGATCTCCATCGCGTACAGAACAAAGCCACTTTCTTAACTTATCACTATTACATTCTAATGGTCTTTAATTCCGGGTATATGTATGTTCCTTATAGGCCGTTCTCGATTTCCCTTGCCTTGTGGGTTCCAATTCAGTGCTTGAGGCATGATGATAATCTCGATCATACAGTTCAATATTATAGTAGCCCCAGTGCCGGATTAGCCTTGTGGGGGGGCCGGGACATACCAACTGTGCGGGGGCCCCATTGTTGTTTGTTCAAATTGTTCGTACTGACCGCGGATCGTACTAGTATGTACTCCGCCCCCTTGAGTGCCTGGGGTGTTTTCCGCCAGGAATTTGTTTTTAAAATTAGGATTACTTTCAGTGCATCTGAGACAATTTAGGCAGCGATTTCATTGACGTTTAGAATTCGTTGACAATTTGAGTATTTTAAACAGACTCTTTCTCTCATGATGTTTCCATTTACTTTATTTTAGTGAGATTATTTTAGGTGACTTAAAACATTAAACTCCGATCAGCAATGAATGTCAGTAAAGAGTTTTAGAAGGAAACTTCTAACAAGAACAGTTAACACACTAGAGCCTAAATTCGCAAGGGACCTATTGATTAGTAGAACCTCTAAGTTATGTAATTTAGTTAATTTTAGGGCCTAACCGATCTCTGGGACCCCGAAAATCTGTTGGTAGAAACCAGTCCCGGGGCCCCCAATATCCCTTACTGCCAAGGGCCCCAATCCTCGCCCCCACAGTCCAGGTACTGGTTGGCTCCGTCCGGGATAAAATATTAATATGACCCAGAATTGTGGGGGCCCCTAAATGTGTGCGGGTTGGGGGGGGGGCGGGACATTTGTCCCACTTTGGCCCCCGCCCCGTGCATTCTAGAGTATATATCCTGATGTTTCTAGCGAGTGTCAATCAAAGAACACGAAATTCAAGACTAAAAGGGCTCACAAACTATAAATATTGCCATTAAGCTAAATAAAAGGGACCCAAACAATGGTAGGATCATTAGCTTCTTTAATAACCCTTTGGCCTACCACAATTTTCTTTGTCCCGCCCCTCCCCTTGGGTGGCATTAAACCAGTCCTATCCAGACTTGTTTGATTATTATAAATATTGCCATTAAGCTAAATAAAAGGGACCCAAACAATGGTAGGATCATTAGCTTCTTTAATAACCCTTTGGCCTACCACAACTTTCTTTGTCCCGCCCCTCCCCTTGGGTGGCATTAAACCAGTCCTATCCAGACTTGTTTGATTATTATGCGACAAAGCCCTTTCTGTATATTTATGTATTATTTTTAAATTCCAAATATTGTTTTCTTATAGGGCACATCTAATAAGAGCAATCATGGGCCCTTTTATCTGCGCCAGTTGTACCATTCTTAACTTGCATAGTTATGATATCAAAAATACATAATAACTTTGAAAAAGAGCAACTAAATAATGATTTTATACACATAATATGCCTAACGCTCTGACAAGGTCAAAATTAACATAAGATTCTTACCTTGCCAAAACTGCCTTTACCAATGGCTCGTAGAATTTGAAAATGATCAAAGTTTACTGAAAAAAGAAAATAAAAACAATATACAACTTAACAATAGATTATATTAATTATCAAATACTAGAAAATAAGTTACTGTCTTTGAGGTCTTATAGTGTTAAAACGGAAGTCAAGGTGACTCATCGATCAGGCATAGTATACTCCCAGCCCATAAACAAGGATGTCCAAGGTTCAATCCCCAGTTATCACTATTCAGCAGTGTAGATAGGTACTGGTAAGAAACCAAAAACCGATCAATGGGGCGCCCAAAACAGCATGAACGGTGGGTTGCCTCATCCCGCTCGGCGCATATTATGCCGAGATTGGTTGGCCGCCCACGACGAAACCAACTGGAGATGGGTCAAATTCACGATCGGATGAGATTGATTCATAAATTATTATAAGTACTCTAAAGTCATATTCATTCCTTCAATTTTTTATAATATTCATATCAATATATCATAACACGCCAATTTCGGAAACTTAATCTCAAAATTGAAATTTTCAGTCATTATCATAGATTCTCATCTCAGTTGCAAACCTTATTTTCCATAATATTCTGGGGGGAAAGCACCCTAGACGGTGCCGTTCGCCGTGGACCGTCAAGTGTAGGTTTATCGGGGCCCCCAGAAGCTCCATCGGCGGCTCCGGAAGCCCTTGACCCCCCCCCCCCACCGCACACCCCACCCAAACATTTATAGGCTAGCTACGGGCCTGAATCGTTAAATAAAAAATGATAATTCTAAATGTCTGCGATATCACTTCGGTGGAAGCGGACGTTAAATAAAGCTATTTCACACAATGCTAAATGAATATATTGAAAATTTCATTCAAATTACTTTATTCTGAGCGAAGATATTAGCCTTTGACAAGATGTGTGGACGAATTGTAACCACCGTACTGGTTGTTCGAAGCTTAGCCTCGCTTTACCATTTTTAAATTAAATCATTAAACGGCTGAGCCGTTCTTATCTACTTCAAATCGAACCTATCCGATGACATCGAGACTTGATTATAGTCTTGTCATGTTAATAAATGTCTATTTAAGGGCTAAAGAAAGGCCTGCAATTAGCAGATTTAGCTCTTGCATAATGCCTGTTTAAGATTAGTAATCGAATCCGTTATAAATCACACTAACTGCTCGTAACGTGAATCATATAAAATGGGGTTTAACGTCTTCTTTTTCATTCTATATATGACTCAACAGTTTGCAATAGAAGTTATTTCTGTACCCGCCGAGATAATGGAGATGGGCAAACACCTTGCAGTGTGTTATGGGGGAAATTTTGTTCGGACAAAACAAATCCGACAGGCGAATACACACAGAAGGAAAAAAAATGCTAAAGGGTTATTTGGCAATGACTACGGCGTAGAAATATTCACCAACTGTTTGGATCAACAGCGTTTTCTTGCATTTTCTAAAAGTTTTTGTGTGAACCATTAACTTTTTTATACCTTACTGTGTCATATCCACTTTATTTAATGTTGATCAAACATGGCATCTCACAGAAATATTACCAAGTAAATGGTGTAAAGAAAGTATTCGCGCGAGAATAGCTTTCATTATCAATACATATTTGCAAAGAAAATGTGTCGTGTGGCAGCGGAGACAGCTTTTGGAGACAGATGGTGCAAAGACAGCGTGGAAAGACAGCTTTTGGGGTCAGAGGGAGCAAAAACAAGAGGAAGCTTGTTGCTACTAGTGGAGCTAGGCGCGATGTTTTTTGTAATAAATTATCATCGTTTCCTTCAGTTTAAAATACATGAAATTTCTAACCAAGAGTTGTGCTTAATAATGCATCTTTGTGCAGCTAGGGCGAATTAAGGAATTGTGGGGAACGTGGCCATGTAACCACAACGTAACCAATGATTATCAAATATATTTGTTGAAATGTTACTTTCGATGCATTATATTTCTTGTTTTTATTTGCTTATAGAGTTATATATTTATAGGGTTCGTCAACTGACAAGTCGAGAGAGGCTCAGCGCGTAAGTCAACGACAAGGAAAATTAAATGGGAATATGCGCCAATTCAGTCGACTGATAGCTTTAGATAGCTTTAGATTATTCAGCAATGAATAATCGCTAGGCCACTACAATCACTTAAAGGGATGACATCGACGCCAGTTAATTAGCTTACAATATTAACTTTATTCCTTCTGCAAATTAAATTCTGGAAAAATAAATAAAGGTGTTTGAAATATATCTCGATAAATAATATTTCCTATTTAGTGTAAATCGGTACATAAAATAGTAAAATGAGTAAAAGGCGCCATTCTGCATGGAAGAGTTTACGTTACGTTAAATAATCCATGCTCTATCGAAGTCAATTATCGACGCCGTGTGATGTGTCGTTACACGCAGAATACATTATGAGATTATAAAGGTCAGTCATCTTACACAGAGTTAGAAGAGGGCTATCGCATTATCTCTTTGAAACAAATTAAGCTTTAGACTTTAAAGCACATGATTTTTATAAGTGATCAAGGGCCATAACTCAGACAGTAACTACCAAAAATCAATCTTGCACAATACACATTTGTATTAATGGCGCTCTTTCGAAAAGATGAGAAGCTACTTATGGAACCTCCACATACTCAATGAATTTTTCATTAAAAGACCGAAAGGCACCATTCCGAGCATGAATACATGCCGGGAAGTTTGTTTTGTTGTTCTTTGAGATATATGGAAAACAGACTGAAGTTATAGCAATTATTGTGGCGTGTTATTCTAATTTTTAATTAAAAATAAATTCTCAAAAAAAGCAGACAATAAGGCGTGAGAATTACGTGGTGTAAATTTAGCTTCGGGCATCAAAGTTAATAATTGTCTTATCAATGACCATCAAAATTTTGAGCTACATCCCCACTTTAAACGCCTCATTTCAGTAACAGATTTACCTTATGTCATGTTTGTCTCGTGCTCTTAATTCGTCTGTCTGAATACTAATCAAACCCATCCACTTCATCGATTATAGGCCAAAAGGCTAACAACAAAAAACTGACAAGCAAAACGTGAGAAAAGGGAGAACAACAAATAGCTTCAACTACATACACATTTTGTGCCTGATTGTCATTCCAGTCTTCTTGAGCTTCTGACATTTTGCATTTTCTTCCACCACAATCATTTTCTAATTAAGTAAGACGTAGATGTACTACGTCCTTCCATGGTATTATATTTTTACATTTGACAAGATTCCAATTAATTTCAGGATTGGGATGCATGAAGAGGAACGATGCCAGCATTACAATATCTCCGTGCTCATTATTGTCTCCTCATTCGACAATAATTGATAGCGACAGGCCTCCAATATTTTGTTTCGTACGTTACCGGTATACATATACATCTACGACCTATACTGACCAGTCTTTAGATAAATCAATTTAGATCTGAGTTGATGAACTTCCACTGACAGGGCAGCTGAGAATGCTTTAAAATCAATCACCAAGTGTTGATCAGATGGCTTAAGGCTTTGATCAATTTTAAAGTAATTAGTTAGCCTTTCCATTCATTCTTTCAACAGACAGTCATCGCTACGAAATAAATTACTATGATTATCACCCATAGTTATCGTCATATCATCCATAGCAGCTATATTGATTTAGGACTTCGAAGACATTTGCAATTTAATTTTATATAAGATTTTTGCGATACCGGCGACGACACTCTTAAACACATTTTTTTTGTAGATGCATTATGTTAGAACTAAATCTGATTGTTTTGGATCTTTCTTTTGGCCTCAATTTCAGTTCTTCCTTTTTGCTCACAAATGCTATATGAATTATTAATTAGACATTTATTCATATGTCAAGCCATCATCAGATGGTTGTGATTTCGAACTGATTGAAACACGATCGCCATTTAATAATTTAATTTAAAAGTGGATCGAGAGTTTGTTTATTATCGTAACAACGAGTATAGCAATGAAAATCGAGGATACGCTATTCTTCAGTCATAAATTCGCTCAATGGCTGAATGTTTTAAACATATTCCGTTTTAATTATCTATTTTTAAACCAGTATAGCAAGTACGGCCAACCCTTTATATATCACTTACATAATGCATCTTTGTTATATCATCTATCTTTACCCAATCTAGCTTTCAACCCTAGAGGTTAGCATTATTGACGTAAACGTCCCTTATAAGTAATGTGACACGATCAACAAAGCTGCTGATAATACTTATATCGACAGGCCATCTTAAGCATCGGTTCTTTCAGTCTCCCCAAAGCGGCGTCTGTCCTGAGATCTTAGTTGAATGAAACCTGAGCTATCTATTGTTGGTCGTTCAGATGAGTTTATTCAAACTAGTTCAAAAACGCTAGCGCATTTAAGTCCGGGCGTTTAGATTTCACGCGAACTATAAGCTAAACCAGTCAAACTATTTTGACCTCGTTGGTTAAGGTTTAGATTAAATTACGCACCGGTACAAGTAATATTACCATCAAGATAAATTACTGTGTGTGTACACAAAGCGAGCTGAAGTCGATCCGTTTAGACGGTCAAGATAAGCTAGCTTTTGTGAAAATCCTATATTCGAAGACAGGTAGTCAGATGGGGTTTAAACTGGTTTAATTTACCCACCTGTCCGTTCAAACGACAAAGTAAAACTGGTTTACCGATTGCCGGCATTATTAAACCAGTTTAAAAATTAAGCCTTTCAACCGTTTAATAGTTTTGGGAGAATTAGTGTCGATTAATTGTGCTTGATCTAAAATATTACAGTATTTGTGCAAAACTGTATTTAAAACTTGAGCTCTCTCCCAAATTCTTAAACCTAACCTACAATCTCGCCAACAATCACGTGCCCTAACCTTTACATTTCAGCAACCTTGACGATATCTTGAGTTGGTCTTAAGAAATAGATCTAGCCCATATCTTATGGTTCACAATCAAGTGACATAACTCTAGACGTTACCGCGGGAAATCGCAGAGAAAAACGGCAGTAGATCTTCCAGTAAGTTGAATAAAGTTAAACATGCATTATGCAAGAGCTAAATCTGCCTATCGCAGGTCTTTCTT